ATATATATATATATATATGACAGTACAGGAGGGAGAGCTTTGGAAGCTTTTGCTTGAGTTGAACAATTGCTCAGAAAACTGAAGGTCCTGGAGAAGAGGATTAAGAGTCTCCATGTGTCCAAGCTGAAACCTAACTCAGAAAAGTCAGGGCAGGCAAGGAAAGGGGCATTGCCACCTCCTCCCATTGCCTTCAGCTCTCCTTACCCAGTGAGGAGGCAGACATCCAGGTGTCAAGCCTCACCTGCACCTTCCTGAGAAAACCAATGGTGAGTCCAGCCAGGACAGGGCTCCAGCCTTCAAAGTAGCCAACAAAGGAAGGGGCAGAGGTGCTACCTGGAGAGATGCAACTGAGGGAGGTGGAGGTGGTAAGGCCCAGAAAGTGTCCTAGGCAGGAAAGAAAAATGGGTGCCCCAGTTTTCCATGAAGTATGAGGCTGGAGAGAAGGTACAGATGGAGGTTTGAGAAGTTGCAATCTGTTTGCAGTTTCTACAGGAAGCTTGTTATTTAGAGAAAAGTGTCTGGAATGACTCTTCTGTGAAGCTGGGGTCCCTTTTTCATGATTTGTTGGTGGCTCTGCTTCCTCTCCACGCTCTGTGGATGTGGGCACAGACCTAGAACAGCCCACTAGACTTTTCAAAGGCATTTGCATCTGTATAAACAAAATCTGACTCCAGCCACCTCTGCTTTCTGTCTTCTTGTCTCCCTTCCTGATATCCTCCCAAGACACACAACATACCCCCAAGAGCCAGGTGGAAATTTCCCAGGCTTCTGGTGACACTGATAGGCCACAAGGTCGGAAGACAGTTGGGTGTTCACTGTTTGCAAGGAGGAAAGGGCCAGGAGAAGGCGGACATAACTCCTTCTTCCCCTCACATTCTCAATTTAGTCAAAAGTGTTCGAGCCACATTCCTTCTGGGAGCAAATTTCACTGACTTTCCAAGCTGGGCTGATAGCATTAGCCTGGCATTGAGCCTTTTATCAACCAGGGAGGCCCATTGATTAGGAAAGGTAAGCCTGACAGACTCATAGCCTGGATGGTTATCTCCTCAGGGGTCATGCTATTGTTTGTAGCATATGGATGGACAGGAACCTAGAAGTAATTGCATCACTTTTCGTTAATGGCCCTGGAAATGGTCCTACCTGACATTTCATCTGGGCCCCTCTGCTCAGTGGCTTATCCTGCTTGGCCAGTAGGAAGCGGGGGATTTTCCTTAACAGGACCCCTTGCCTGTGTTGACCTTCCAGCCCTGAGGTCAGCCATTTTTCTCCTGGGTGAGGGCACCCTGCAGTAAGTGGACAAAAAGAGGTTCCTTCCCTCTCGGAACTTTTAGCCCCACCTCATCAACTTCTCCTTGTAAGAGACAAACGTCCTCTGCCAGGGTTCAACTGAAAGGATAAATCATGGCTGAGTGAATTGAAGATATGAGTGAAGTTAGAGGTAGAAAGGTTTTGTGGAGTGAGAGGCAGCATGCTAATCACCTGGGGGAAGAAGATTCTAGAAGCCATGAGGAATAAGGAGGGTGAGATTCACAAAACAATCCCCAAATTAATACAGAATAAAATGCCAGGCAATGACACATACAATAGAGAAGGCTGGCATAAGCAAAGTCGTCATGGGGGACTGCTGAAGAGCTGTTTTATCTAGGGGGAATCAGGAAGGCTTCCCTGAGGAGGTGATGTTTGAACAAAGACCTGAACCAAGTGACAAAGTGATGTAAGAATGAGCAAGGGCAACGACCCTGAGACCTTGGGTTTAGGATCAGCAAGCCAACCCGTGTGGTGGAGGAGGCATATGCTGGCCTGGGAGTCTCCAGGAGAATGTTGGGTTGTATGGAGAGCACTGGAAAGCCACAGGAAGGCTTGGAGCAGAGGGACAGGCAGGTCCTCAGCACAGGTGGGCTGCCCTCTGCCTGCTTTTCTTTTTTTTTTTTTCCTTTTTATGTGGATATGACAGTAGAGTGTTTACAACCCATTTCTTATTAGAATCCCAGTTCTTGTGGTTGCAAAAGAAAGTCGTCTGCCTGCTTTTGTGCCTCCCTTCCAGGTGGGACCTGGACCCAGGCTGGACCTGCAGACATGGTGATAGGTGACTAAGGAAAGGGTCCAGGAGAGCTGGACGTGGCCTGGTGATCCCTCTGTGTCCTCATTCTTTTCTCTTCCCTTTTCCTGTCTCTTCCTTCCCCTCCTCTTTCTTCCTGCACTCTTTGCCCAAACCACTGTGTGCTCATTTGGGAAGGTAAGCAGCCCCTGGCCTTCCCACCTCCCATCTACTTCAGGGTTGCTAAAACTCTGTTCCTGCTCCTTGACCCCCACAGAACTCTGCATCTCACTGACAGACTCATGACACCCTTGCAGTGTACTGAGAGGGTGACCTGGGCCTCTCATTGATGAAGTGAGGTCCTGCAATTTATTCCAATTTATCTCTTGAGCAGCTCAGGGAAATAACCAGGCAGCTATTGAGTACCCAGAGTTGTTGGTTCTGGGCAGAGAGGAGAGAGGGGCTGGAGGCTTTGACATAGACGTGGAAAAGTTTCTGTGCTCTGAGGTTGCTTTCTGGTGGTGGGATTCCTCCACTACAGAGCTGGCAGAGACAGCTGCTGCACATAGGAATGGAGCATGCAGGTGCTTTGGTTAGGCCCGGGAGGGAGACATTATTTCTTAGAAGTGCTCTAGGAAGCAGGTGCCACTTGCATTAGGCTTTGGAACACTTGGAGGCCTTCTGGGGGCTTTAGAGAAAGGCCCTGCAACGGATCCCCTGCCAGATGCAAGTCCAGAGCAGCACGGGCCCACAGTGTGCACTGGCTTTCTTCTGGTTCCTGATGCCTTGATGAAAGGTGAACAAGAATGGAAATGTGCTCTCAATGTGGTTAAGAGACAAGACCAGCCCTGGAGAGTCAGTGAGCTACCCACCCTTAGCACTCACCAGGGCCAAATATGGCCTTGCAGTGAGCAGGTTGTCAGAGTGGAGAGAAAAAAGCTGCACAGGACCTTAGGGGTCATCCCGGGCAGCTCGTTTTCTTGAGGTCATGGGGTCCTTTGAGAAATCTATGAAAGCTATCGACTCAGAAGAAATGCTTGTCTGTGCAGACACACTAAATTGGTTTTTTATTGAGGTATAATTTATAACCCATAAAAGTCACCATTTTAAAACATACAGTCCAATGGTTTTTAGTACATTTACAAGGTTATACAACCACCATTGCTTTCTTACTCCAGAACATTTTCATTATCCCAGAAGGAAACCCCATACCCTTTGTAGTCATCCCCCATTCTCTCCTTTCCCCAGCCCCTAGCAAATTGATCTACTTCCCGTCTCTGGTTTTGCCTATTCTGGCACATTTTATATAAATGGAATCACACAATATGTAGTCTTTTGTGCTGGCTTCTTCCATTTAATGTTTTCAAGATTCATTCATGCTGTAGTTTGTATCAATACTCTATTTGTTTTCATGTATAATATTCCTGAATAATATTTCATGTATGGATACCACATTTTCTTTATCCGTTCATCAGTTGATACACATCTGGGTTTTTTCTACTTAGCTCTTATGACTAGGTTGCTATGAACACTCACGTACACATTCACACACGAAAATTTGCACACCGTTTCAGAGATTCACAGAACCCCCAAAATCTATCTCATGACTTAGGAAAGCCTCATTTTATAAAAAGAGGGAGCTGGGCACGGTGGTGCACACCTGTAAGCACAGTGGCTGGGGAGGCTGAGGCAGGAGGATCACAAATTCAAAGCCAGCCTCAGCAACTTAGTGAGGCCCCGTCTCTAAATAAAATATTTAAAAATGGCTGGCGATGTGCTGGTTAAGCACTCCTGAGTTTAATCCCTAGTGTCAAAAAAGTGGGGGGAGGGATTTGAGAGGAGATGGACATAACTTGTTATTGTTTATTGAGTGGTGCTAAGTTAAATTCTTTATGTAAGCCTCAACAACCCTGTGTCACGTTATTATCTCCCATTTCAGATAGGAAAACTGAGGCTCAGAGAAGCCATATCAGGCTTCTTAGAGAAGCTGAGATTTAAGCTAAGCCTCGACTGCCAGGCAAGGAAGGGCAGTTACACATCTGTCTCCACCTGACTCCCACCAAAGCCCCTATTTCCTTCCATTTATTTTCTAAAGATGTATTAATGCTCTGTCTGCCAACAGGCCATCCATTTTGCTAAACCCAGAGCCAGTCTAGCATACAGGGAGCATCCCAGATTGCCAGAAAATGACCCTGTCCCTAGAGTGATGTGTGATCGAAGCCCCTGCCTCCTGCTCTCCCACTTCGGGAGAAGCTGGGCCTCCAGCCACACTGGCTTGTGTATCTGGGTGTAGTAATAATAGCTCAGGGGCATCCATCTCCTGAGCAACTGAGACATCTGTAGCCATTGCCCTCACTGTACTGCTCCCACTGCACACCCTGCCTGGCAGGGAGGTATCGGGGCAGGTTGAGGACAGCGTGTGGCTAGGGTTCTGCAGGAAGGTGGGCAGCTGCTGTCTGACGCCCATTGACACCATCACGCT